TGCTGTAGCCTCACCCCTGAATCAAAACTGCGCCTCGGACTCATACAAGCAGTTGTACCCGCTAACAAGATTTGCAAGCAGAGCTGAGAACCGTTTCTCTCTCTCTCTCTCTCTCTCTGTGAAATCACAACAACAGCTGTAGCCGCTCACCCCTGAATCAAAACTGTTCCTCGAACTCATAGGAAAGATGTGGCTGGTAACCAGATAGGCAAGGAGAGCTGAGAACCGTTGTACGCGAAAGCGTGGCAGCCGAACGATTCCCTCGAATCCATTTTTTTTGCAGGCGTGATCACCAGGAAGATGTTCTCTCTCCCACGCAGGCCATCAAAGAAATCTCACAAAAAAGAACCCATCTCGATCGCCATCGACGACAATGACAAATGCAGATTACGGTGGACTCAAAGGGGCAGAAACGAAATTGACAGGAAAGAAAGAACCAAGCCACCAACTAATTTAACGAAGATCTCCACAAAAAGGTAATACTACAGAATTTCCGCATAACTCTAGCCCTGAGAGACCTGCATTGAAGTTCTCAGTAGCGCATGGAGAGAGACCTGAGAGCCTGTGAGAGGATGACGAGCAGATAGCCACATAAGGCTTGCCAAAAGAATAAGAAAAAAAAACACATACTCCTGAGAAAAAAATTCGACATAAATTTTAAAGATCCACTCTGTAGAGAAGCGTATAATGACAAGCAGCCCCAGGTGACGCTTACAGCCTAAAAAAAAACATACTCCTGAAGAATCGAGTTTGACTGCGCTTTCCAGAATGGACAAGAGTTCGCGCTTCGAAGAATATAACGACCAAGAGACTGACTCAGAGGCGAAGCTTTGCAAGATCCGATCTCTCAGCTACGGACAAACTGGGAGGAATAGCAGCTACCGCTGTGTTTGATGTTTCTTCTCGCGCGTTGGACCACGAAGAAGAACAGAAATGCACTCAATGACCCCCAATAAAACACACAAACAACATCATCTGCCTCCTCAGATGATGCTTCCTTCCCCCAAAGGAGAAGCCTCCAAGACTCACCTTCAATCTTAGCTGGCCGAACCTCAACCCCTTTCTTTTGCCAGTTGAAGATCAATGCTCACGCGCTTCTTTTCTTATCGCCAGCACCAAGCCCAAAGAGGGGGTGCTGAAAGGCTCTTATTTGAGGGGGCTAGCGAAGCTTGGTGTAGAGGTGGCATCAACGGAGGCATTCCTCCTTGATGCGGCATTGGCCCTTGCCCTGGAGGCATCATTGGCCCTGAAAGTGTCATTGGCCTTGGAGGTCCCATAGGCTCTGGAGGTCCCATTGGCCCTGGAGGTGGCATTGCTTGAAGCGGAGGAGCCCAGATAACTGCGAGCACAACCATTTTTCGGTTTTCCATAACGAATGCAATGTCTCCTAAAGTCATATCATGACCCATCTCCGCTGTTTCGCCATCATCGCTCTTCAGTTGTAGTCGCTCAATGACTTCGTCTTCGCCCACATGACCGTTCCTTTTTGCTCTCTTCTGCAAGGCAGTTCCCAAAACAATGGAAACAAAAAATGAAAGGTAAGATGGCATGAAAAGGACCGCTTCAGCAGGCAATCATCTCTCTCTCTCTCTCTCTCTCTCTCTCTCTCTCTCTCTCTCTCTCTCTCTCTCTCTCTCTCTCTCTCTCTCTCTCTCTCTC